TTGAAATTTCTATTTTACCTTCTATCCAGGTAGATTTTCTTTATAATTTCTCAAAATATGATTTTTAGGTCCTGTTTTTGATCATGGCTTTCATATAGTCCTGTAATTCTTAAATTATCTCTCCTTAATCTATTTTTAAGTCATTTGTTTTCTAATAAGATATTTCACATTTTCTTCTATTTTTTTTCCTTCTATTGGTTCTTTATATTTCATGAAGTCATTAGGTTTCACTTACCCAGTTCCAATTTTTAAGTCATTATTTTCTTCACTGAGTTTTTGTTTCTCTTTTTACATATGGCCAGTTCTGCTTTTGAACTTTTTTCTGTGAGATTTTGTATCACTTTTACCATTTGGCCAGTTTTGTTTTTTAAGGTGTTATTTTCTTCAGTACTTTTGTAACTTAAAGTTTTACCAAGCTGTTAGTTGCCTTTTCATAGTTTTCTTGTCTTGCTTTAATTTATTTTCTCAATTTTTCCGCTTATTTGATTTTTAAAATAATTTTTTTCTTCCAGGAATTAATGTTGAACTTGGGTCCAGTTTACACTTTTCTTTAAGGCTTTTCTTATAGCTGTTTTGACATTGTTGTCTTCTCACTTTGTATGTTGACCTTCCCTATTAACATAGTAGCTTTTAATGGTCAGGTTCCTTTTTTTTATTGTTTGCTCATTTTCCCTGCCTATTTCTTGACTCAAATTCATGTTAAAGTTGACTTATGCTCTCCTGAGTGTAGGTTGGAGGAGAAGGATTTGAAGAAGGTGGGGGAGTGAATTGGCCCAAGTGTCAAGCTCTTTTAAGCTCCTATTTCCAGAATTAGTTCTTGAGGTTGTGATCTGAAGAGAGGTGTAGTTACTGCTCTCTTGGGTTGCATTCTGCTTCTTAGCCAAGTTAGTCACCTTATACTTTATTACCAAAAGCATTCCTCTCTGCCTTGGAACTGTGACCCATAAGTGGGTGTAGGCAGTTACCAAACAGTGCCTGGTACTGTGCCCAGTGCTAGCCAAGGGTCTCCTATTATATCTTTCAGAACAGTTGTCCAATCTCCTTACTGTCTCTGCGATGAGAGCTCCTGAAGCTGTTGTTGCAGCAGCTGACACAGAGGTCTGTGTTGTTGTTGCCATGCATGCCATGGGCCAGCACTTGCCCCAGTGTCACAGACCTCTACTCATACCCCCCCCCCCAAGTTGTCTTTGGCTGGAGAAAAATGTCTCATCCTGACTTTCTATTGGTTCTTAAGCTCCAGAATTCAATTTGTTATTTTAAAGTTGTTTGAAGAGGATTATTAGGACATCACAGCTGTAGTGCTTCCTACTTCACCATCTTGACTCTGTGCCCTCCACTCCCCTCCCAAAGCAGTCTTTTTACAATTACTTTTTTTTTTTTTAGCTTTTTAGTGAGGCAATAGGGATTAAGTGACTGCCTAGGGTCACACAGCTTTGCAATTACTTCTGATTGATTGATGTGACATGGACACAAGTCAGCCCTTCTATGGCTTATTGCCCCTCCTTTCGATAGTCAGTCAGTAGGTTATTAATGTCCTTCTGTGGTGCCTTGAACAAAACACAATATTCTAGATAGGATCTGACAAGGGCAGAGCACAGAAAGGACTATTAATTTTTTTCTGGAGGCTCTGATTTTCTTAATGGAGCCCTTAATTATATCAGATTTTTCACTGTTATGTCATACTGCTGACTCATGCTGAACTTGCTGTCCATTACAATCTGTGGATCTTTTTTCAGATGAACTAATGGCTAACCAAAATTACTCTATCTTATATTTGTGAAATTTATCTTTTGAAATGAGGTATGTCTTTACATTTACAGCTATAGAATTTTATATTAGTTTTTGTCCAATGTTCTTTCCTATCAGGATCTTTTTGGATCTTGACTCAGTCATTTAGAGTATTAGTTATTCCTCCCAGCTTTTGTTTCCTGTAAATTTTATGTTCATGCTCACCTGCCTTTATCCACATCATTAAAAATAAAAACATTAATTCAGGCCCAAGCAGAAATATTTGGGATACTTCACTGGAGATCCTCTGCTAAGTTGACATTGAATGAGAATACTATGGATATATAATCATTTGCATCAGTAAAATCTTGGTAAACTTTGTCTATAACATTCCCCTGGTGTATTTAGTTTGCTAAATCTGTCTAAAAAAGGAAAATAAAGTTGTCCTGATTTGATCTGAATTTTGTTTGTTCTGTTTTGTTTTTAAGTTTTCACCTGGCTCATTGTAATTACTACCTCCTTTTTCAGATATTGACTAATAATTTCTTTAACAATTCATTCTAAAAAAATTTTTTTTAGAAACCCACTTCAAGCTTATTAGACCAGAGTTTGTAGTCTCTATTCCTTGTCTTAAAATTTTGAGTATTTGCCCTTTTTTCAGTCTTGTAGTCCTTCTTTGTTTTATGACTTTTAAAATGTCACTAATAGTAACTGAGTGATCATATCTGATGGTTCTTTCTATAGAAGAGAATGTAATTTATCTGGGTCAGGTACCTTGAATATATCTTTTTTCAAAAATATTTTTAGTTAGCTAAAATCTGCCTTTTTCCCTGTCCCCCCCACTTCCACTTCAATTGAAAGCACAATTAAAACAAAACTCATTTTGAATATAATAATAGTTAATAAAAACAAATTTCCCCATTGGCCATGTCCAAAGAAAATTTGTCTCAATCTTTATTCTTACTCCTCTTTATCATGAGCTTAGTATGTTTTATCATTAGTCTTCTGGAATCATGGTCATTTGCTGATAAGAGATTAGCACAATAGTATTCCATTACACTTACATACCATAACTTTTTCATCCATTCCCTAATTTATAAGCATCCCCCCTTCAGATTCTCCCCTTTACTGCCTCAGAATTAGAAATATTTCTCTCCATTTGTAGAGCTTGTTTTGTTCCCTTAATCTGCTGTTCCTCAAATTCCTCCTGCTCTTATCCTGCTGTTTCCCAGTTGAGTACTATGTATGTCTGTGGCCGATTCTGGGTAGGTGGGGTGGCTGGGAGTGTGTGTGTGTGCCCGGTTGCACACACCACAGGCGTTCTTCTTTTGAAAAATTCAGATGAGAGTGAGGTTCAATGGTTCTATGGGCAGCTACTGTCTCAGCCCCTTTCTCCTTGTTTTTGTGTGTCTTCTTACCCTGAGTATGTGAGATAATTTTACCAAAGGTTTCTTTCCCCACTTCTTCACTCCTAGTGTAATCCTTCTCCCATTTCATTCCATTCTTTTCTTGATGATCTCATAAAGACATAAGAGAATCATTTCCAGGCCTTGTTAAGTTAGATTCTCTCTATGAATCCTCATAATGATAGTGTTCAGAGGGGACATATGTATCATTTCCCCATATTTGAATGTATGCTGTTTATCATTGTTTACTTCTTTATTGTGGTTCATGTTTATCTCCTTAGTTTCTCTTAAATCATGTGTTTGAATTTCAGGTTTTCTTTGCAGCTTTGTTCTTTTCATCAGAAATGCTTTGAAGTCCCTTCTGTTACATGTCCATTTTTCCTCTATGTGGCATTATACTCACTTTTGCAGGTTAAATTATTCTTCTCTGTAAAGCCCATATCCTTTACCTTCTGGAATATCATTCCAGGATCTCCAGTCTTTCATAATGGTGGCAATTAAGTCATATTTGATTCTGATTGTGGCTCCTGGGAACTTGAATTCTTTCTTGCTGCTGGATGCTTGCAAAATTTTTTCTTTGACCTACTATTTCTGGATTTGGCTATAATGTTCCTGCAAGTTTTTTATTTGGGGGTTTCTTTCTGAAGGTGACCAGTAGATTCTTTTTATTTCTACTTTGTCCTCTGGTTCTAAGAGATCTGGGCAATTTTCTTTTAAGATTCCTTGAAATATAACATCTAGGCTCCTTTCTTTGGTCATGGCATTCATAAAGTCTAGTAGTGATTCTTAATTTTTTTCTTTTTGTTCTGTTCTCCAGGTCAGTTGTTTTTGTTATGAGATACCTTACCTTTTCCTCTATTTTTTTTCAGTGTTTTGATTTATGTTGATATTTCTTGATGCATCATGGAATCATTAGGTTCTGTTTGGTTCATTCTAAATTTTAGAGAATTTGTGGCTTGGGCAAGCTTTTATACCTCTTTGTCCCATGCTGTTAATTCTTTTTCCAATTCTGTCATCCGTAGCTCTCATCTCTTTCCCAATATTGTCCTAAAAATCCTCTTATTTATAAAAAACAATATTAACTCTTTTTTTTAAATTCTTGCTTCATCTCTTCTAGGAATTCTAGTTAACTTTTTACTCAAGCTATGTTTTTCTCTGACACTTATTTTGGAGTAATTTTTTTTCTTCTGTGTTTGTATCTTGGGCTTCTTTGCTACCTTAACATCTCTTTATGGTGGAAGCCTTTTCTTCCTTCCTTCCTTTCTTTTTTTTCTTTTTTTGCTCATTCTGCCAGCCCACTTCTGGACTTTGGACTTGATATTAAAGCTAGACTTTGCAGCATTTCTTTGAAAAAAAGCCTGGTCTTGACCTTTTGTTGCTTTCATGGGCGTATACCTGCCCCAAAGAGTAGCTCCACTTCTGCTAATTAATACTTGGGTTAGTTATTGCCTTGCATGGACCTCTGAGCCAGAGGAAGTGGTGAGATCAGATTGTATGTTTTGCAGTCAAGTGAGTTTATCATCTTAAGTCCATACATGCAATGTGAAAGAGTAAAGCTCAGTATCAAATCAGTTAAGAAATGTTTATTAAATAATTATGACAATCAGTGCTACATACTGGGGAACACAAAGACAAAAACAAAACATTCCCTGCCTTTAAGGAGAGCTTATATTCTACGGGGAGAGAGCAATATGTATGCATTTAAATACATACAAAAGATATTGAAGTAAATACAATGTAAGTTTTTGTTGGAGAGGGGGCACCAGCATCTAGGAGTGGGGTACAATAAGATAAGAAAAGGCCTCATATACAGCTATGCAGTATGTTAAGAGTTAGTCTTATGTTCATGTCTATTTTTTCCCTTAGGGTATCTGTACCGTTACTGAAGATGTTGGACCAGATGCTGGCCAATGGTTGTTTTGACATCTTTACTGCTGAGGAAAAGTAAATACTATTTTTTTTCTTGATATATCTTTCTTGTTTTATTTCTGCCAGAGAGGTTAATGCATTTATATCAGTGTATCTGTTACAGGGATTCTAATCATGGGGTCAGTGAACTTTTAAAAAATATTTTGACCACTGTCTTTCATTATAATTGGTTCCTTTTAAAATCTCATACAATTTATTATGTATATTAAAAAACATTCTGAAATGCAGTTCATAAATTTTATCAGACTGCCAAAGGGGGTCAGGGGAACCATGAAACAAAAATAGGTTAAGAACCTTGATCTAGTCAATAGGATTACTGTAGTTAATTTTCTAGTGCAGTCAAGGTTAATTCCTGTACAGGCATTCATATGATCATTGCTTCAGTTAGACTGAAAATATTGATAGAGTGCCAACACTATATAAGGTATATATATCAGTGATGATCACTAGGCAGGGTTGGTGGGGGGGGGGTTAGTACAGAATAGAAGTGTAGCATATAGTCTCTACCTTGGAGTTTTTAGTGTTGGTGAGGTAATCAATTCAACAATTTTATGACAATTTCAGCAATATTATGAGAAAGTGTATTGAGTATTAAATTAATTGGTGGATTTGATTAGTGCTGTTAATCAGAGAAGGCAAAAGTCAGTGCTAGTTAAAGTAATAAGAGAAGGCTTCAAGTAGAAAGTGGCACTTTTTTTTTTTAATGGCAGTTGGGGTTAAGTAACTTGCCCAGGCTCACACAGCTAGTGTGAGTGTTTGGTATGAGGGGTTTTAGAAGACAGGCAATTGCCATTTTCCTTTTCTGTCTTTACCAGTATTATAGATATTATATAGAACCTCGAAGTTTTAATTTGTGTTTCACTTACAAATGATTTCCAAGTGATTGTTGTTAGCTTGTATTTTTTCTTCAGAAAATTACCTCTTGATATCCTCGAAACACAATTTGATGAACTACCTTCAGAAGGCTAATCCCTAATGTCTAACATGCTCATTCAGTGCTCTTTACCTCTTTAGTTCCACTCTTTGGCAGAGCTACATGATGGGACCCACAGACTTGTGATCTGAGATAATGACTCAGAAATTTACTTTCTGCTGCTGTAATATCCACCAGCTAATCCCATGCCCCACCCCCACTCCCTACCATTACATTCTGAGGCAACAAACAATATAATTCAAATCTGCCACCTGAAACCCCACCATGCAAAGTTAGTTGTGTTACAGGAAAGTAAAAGTTTGCTGTGCCTAGGACAGTGCTTCTGTACCAGAAATATCTGTGATTTAGCAGTACTTATCCAGAGATTTAAGGAAAAGAGGGAACTTTGAAGCAAGGTACTACCATATGTGAAGGGCTCCACTAGAACTAAAGGAATGGAAACTGGCATCTAGCTGAGGCCAGTTTGTATCCCCTTGGAAGCCACTTGGAGCAAAGACTGCATCTGGTGAAAAGTGAATTCCCTAGTATGGAAGGAGGCTGATACACCTTGTGGTCCTAGCCTTGACCTGTCATCAAAGGGGAAGGAATCAGAAAGTAAATAATAGAGGAAAATGAAGGAAAAAGTCTGGAATTACCAAAGATTGAGCTTGGAGCTAAGATGGAAGAACAGAGGGTACATTCTAGCCAAACTCTCGTAGTATTTCCCCCAAATCAGTTTTAAAATGATACATCAAATTGACTTTTGGTGCAGAATAGTCAACAAAAGGTCCAGATGAGACATTATTCCAGGCCAGGACAACATAGGAAGTTGGAAGGAAACATCTGTGGCACTGAGGTGCTCTATTACTGTCAGCACAGGATGGCATCAACACCAGTGGAGGGCCATAGAGATGGCTGCTGCACTAGCCACAGGAATCTTAGGAGATTTCAGAACACAGAGAAGCTAAGCAGATTGGATGTATGGTCAGAAAGATATTATGGGGGATCCCTGTGGGGGCACTGCACAAAAGACCAGGCAACATTTGGCAACTCAAATGTTCATTACTCAGTTCTGGGTCACAGTTACAGGTTGGAAAGGAATACTTTCATTTGCAGGGGAGCAAGAGCACTGGTTTCAGTTCCAGGGCACAGAGGGAATGGGGGCCCTTTTTCCTGGTTGTAGTTCCAGGGAAGAAAGGAGCACTAGCACTTCTAGTCCAAAGGGAGAAGGGTCCTTTCCTGAGTAAGGACCAGAATGCAGACAGAGAGACCTCTCCCCATAGCTCTCCCCAGATCACACCACTTTGGAAGCACCAAAAGCTTAGAGACCCATAGAACTAGCTGTGAAAAGAACAGGGGCAAAATTTCTGAAACACAGTACAGTGATTCTGTACAACCACTGCCTACCCAGAGATGAGTAGAGCGCAATTCTAATATAAAGTTCAAAATCAAGAAATAGGCTGAAAAAAAATGAATCACACACAGACACACACACACACACACACACACACACACACACACACCCGACCATAAAACCTACTATGGTAATAGGAAAGCTCAGGATACAAACTCAGAGAAGAAGATGATATGAAAACATTTACAAGCAAAAGCCTGAAAGAAAAGTGCTAATTGGACAAAAGCCAAACCAAAACTTCTAGAAGAGATAAAGGGAGATTTTTTTTTAAAAGGCCAAAGAGAAGTCATTTTGAAGATCAAATAAGAGTGGCAGAGGAAAAATTGAGAAAGGAAATGAAAGTAATGCAAAAAATATATATATGAAGAGAATTAACAACTTTTTAAAAAGAAACAAACACTGAAGAAAGTAACTCCTTAAAAAAAAAAAGAATTGACCACATGTTACAAGAGGTACAAAACCTCACTAAAGAAAAGAACTCCTTAAAAGCGGGACAGGCCAAATACAAAAAGAGGTACAAAACTTCTCTGAAGAAAATAATTCCTTTAAAACTAGAATTTGGTAAGAGGAAACTAATGACTCCTTGAGACATCAACAAACAATAAAACAAAGTTTTATTGAAATATTCTTCTATTAAAACATAAAAGATAATGTGAAATGTCTCATCAGAGGAAATAACTGACCTGAAAAATAGACTGAGAAGAGATAAAGAATTATTAGACTAGCTGAAAGCCTTGATCAAAAACAGCCTAGACATTATATTTCAAGAAATTATAAAGGAAAACTGCACCAATACCTTAGAACCAGAGGATGAAATAGAAATCAAAAGAATTCATCAATCACCTCCTTAAAGATATCCCAAAATGAAACCTCCCAGGAATATTATTATAGCCAAATTTCAGAGCTCTCAAGTCAAGGAGAAAATATTGCAAGCAGCCAAAAAGAAACAGTTCTAGTACAGTGGAGCCATAGTCAGGATGACACAATAAAAGAGCAGAGGGCTTGGAATTTGATATTTCAGAAGGCAAAGGAGCTAGGATTACAACCACAAATAACCTACCCAGCAAAACTGAGTGTAATTGTTCAGGGAAAAAATTGATATTTAATGAAATAGAGGACTTTCAACTATTGTTGACGAAAAGATTAGAGCTGAATAGATAATTTGATATTCAAACACAAAGAGCGAGGAGAAGAATAAAAAGGTAAAGAGGAAAGAGAAATCTTAAGAGATTTAATAATATTAAATTGTTTACATAAGTAACTCCTAAGAACTTATTAGGGAAGTTAGAAGGTGTCTATGTAAGCAATGGGCATTGGTGTGAGTCCATAATGTTGTGATGACTTATTTTAAAAAAATGAAAGGGTGAGGAAGTGGGATACCCTGAGAGAAGCAGTAAGGGAAAGGAAGAATGAGGAAAATTATCCTATGTAAAAGAGGCAAGCAAGGAGGCATTTTTGCAATGGAAGGGAAAATGGGGTGGGGGGAATGGGTAATGCTTGAACCTCACTCTCATCTGAACTGGTTCAGAAAGGAAAGAATATATACACAGTTCAGTATAGAAATCTATCTTACCTAACAGGGAAGTAGGAAAGGAAGCAGATAAGAGGAAAGGGGGGAGAGCAGTAAGAGGGAGATTAAGGGAGCCAACAGTCAGAAGCAAAATTGATTTCTGAGGAAATACAGGGTTAAAAAAAAAAGAAGTATAGATAGAAGAGAATAAGATGGAGGGAAATACATGGTAATCATAACTGTGAATGGAATTCATCTGTCCATAAAATGGAGACAGCAGAATGAATTAGAAACCAGAATCCAACAAGATGTTGTTTACAAGAAACACACTTAAAACAGAAAGATACACACAGAGTTAAAATAAAGAGCTAGAGTAGAATCTGTTATTCTTCAGCTGAAGTAAAAATTAAAAAAAGGCAAGGGTAACACTTATGATCTCAGATAAAGCAAAAGAAAAAAATAGGCCTAATTAAAAGAGATAATCAGAGAAACTGCTTTTTGCTAAAAGGTATATCCAATGAAGTGATACTATAGTTAATGAAGTAGTATCAATACTAAACATATATTCACCAAATGGCATAGCATCCAAATTCTTTTTTTTTATTAATTTATTTTAAGTTTTCAACATTCACTTCCATAATCTTTTAAGTTTTAAATTTTCTCCCTGTCCCTCCTCACCTCCCTCCTTAATACAGCATACAATCTGATATAGGCTGTACATGTACATTCCTATTAAACATATTTTCACATTAGTCATGTTGTAAAGAAGACTTGGTTTCTAATGAATATAGATGCAAAAATTTTAAACAAAATATTAGCAAATAGATTACAGCAATGTATTACAAGAATAATACACTATGACCAGGTAGGATTTATACCAGGAATGCAGGTCTGGTTCAATATTAGGAAAACTATCAGCATAATTGAGCATATCGACACCAAAACCAACAGAAACCACATGATCATCTCAATAGATGCAGAAAAAGCTTTTGACAAAATACAACACCCATTCCTATTAAAAACATTAGAAAGCATGGATATAAATGGAGTCTTCCTTAAAATAATAAATAGCATCTATCTAAAACCTTCAGCAAGCATAACATGTAATGGGGACAAACTAGAAGCATTTCCAGTAAGATCGGGGGTGAAACAAGGATGCCCATTGTCACCACTATTAT